ACCCTGGCTGGCACCCTGGCTGGCGCCCTGGCTGGCACCCTGGCTGGCACCCTGGCTGGCACCCTGGCTGGCACCCTGGCTGGCACCCTGGCAGCCACCCTGGCAGCCACTCTGGCTGGCACCCTGGCAGCCACCCTGGCAGCCACCCTGGCTGGCACCCTGGCTGGCACCCCGGCTGGCGCCTGGCTGGCACCTGGCTGGCGCCCTGGCTGGCACCCTCTGGCTGTGGCACCCTGGCTGGCACCCTGGCTGGCACCCTGGCTGGCACCCTGGCAGCCACCCTGGCAGCCACCCTGGCTGGCACCCTGGCTGGCGCCCTGGCTGGCACCCTGGCTGGCACCCTGGCTGGCACCCTGGCTGGCACCCTGGCAGCCACTCTGGCAGCCACCCTGGCAGCCACTCTGGCTGGCACCCTGGCAGCCACCCTGGCAGCCACTCTGGCTGGCACCCTGGCTGGCACCCTGGCTGGCACCCTGGCTGGCACCCTGGCTGGCGCCAGTGTTTACCTCCTCCTCCTGACTAACAAAACAGTTCCTTGTGAGACTTCATTGTAATTTTATTGTCATTTAAAAACCTTTAATGACACTCTAGTCGATTTAATGTTGAAAAATATTTACTGAAGACTAAGTGCACTGAGTGGCACCCTTGTGCACCCTTGTGCACCCTTGTGCACCCTTGTGCACCCTTGTTCTACCTTCCCCCTCTCTCTGGCACCCTTGTGCACCATTGTTCTACCTCCCCCCTCTCTCTGGCACCCTTGTGCACCCTTGTTCTACCTCCCCCTCTCTCTGGCACCCTTGTGACCCTTGTTCTACCTCCCCCTCTCTCTGGCACCCTTGTGCACCCTTGTTCTACCTCCCCCTCTCTCTGGCACCCTTGTGCACCCTTGTTCTACCTCCCCCTCTCTCTGGCACCCTTGTGCACCCTTGTTCTACCTCCCCCTCTCTCTGGCACCCTTGTGCACCCTTGTTCTGCCTCCCCTCTCTCTGGCACCCTTGTGCACCCTTGTTCTACCTCCCCTCTCTCTAGCACCCTTGTGCACCCTTGTTCTACCTCCCCCTCTCTCTGGCATCCTTGTGCACCCTTGTTGTACCTCCCCCTCTCTCTGGCACCCTTGTGCACCCTTGTTCTACCTCCCCCTCTCTCTAGCACCCTTGAGCACCCTTGTTCTACCTCCCCCTCTCTCTGGCACCCTTGTGCACCCTTGTTCTACCTCCCCCTCTCTCTGGCACCCTTGTGCACCCTTGTTCTACCTCCCCCCTCTCTCTCTGGCACCCTTGTGCACCCTTGTTCTACCTCCCCCTCTCTCTGGCACCCTTGTGCACTCTTGTTCTACCTCCCCCCTCTCTCTGGCACCCTTGTGCACCCTTGTTCTACCTCCCCCTCTCTCTGGCACCCTTGTGCACCCTTGTTCTACCTCCCCCTCTCTCTGGCACCCTTGTGCACCCTTGTTCTACCTTCCCCCTCTTCTGGCACCCTTGTGCACCCTTGTTCTACCTCCCCCCTCTCTCTCTGGCACCCTTGTGCACCCTTGTTCTACCTCCCCCTCTCTCTGGCACCCTTGTGCACCCTTGTTCTACCTCCCCCCTCTCTCTGGCACCCTTGCGCACCTTGTTCTACCTCCCCCTCTCTCTAGCACCCTTGTGCACCCTTGTTCTACCTCCCCCTCTCTCTGGCACCCTTGTGCACCCTTGTTGTACCTCCCCCTCTCTCTGGCACCCTTGTGCACCCTTGTTCTACCTCCCCCTCTCTCTAGCACCCTTGAGCACCCTTGTTCTACCTCCCCCTCTCTCTGGCACCCTTGTGCACCCTTGTTCTACCTCCCCCTCTCTTTGGCACAATTGTGCACCCTTGTTCTACCTCCCCTCTCTCTCTGTCACCCTTGTGCACCCTTGTTCTACCTCCCCTCTCTCTGGCACCCTTGTGCACCCTTGTTCTACCTCCCCCCTCTCTCTGGCACCCTTGTGCACCCTTATTCTACCTCCCCCCTCTCTCTGGCACCCTTGTGCACCCTTGTTCTACCTCCCCCTCTCTCTGGCACCCTTGTGCACCCTTGTTCTACCTCCCCCTCTCTCTGGCACCCTTGTGCACCCTTGTTCTACCTCCCCCCTCTCTCTAGCACCCTTGTGCACCCTTGTTCTACCTCCCCCTCTCTCTGGCACCCTTGTGCACCCTTGTTCTACCTCCCCCTCTCTCTGGCACCCTTGTGCACCCTTGTTCTACCTCCCCCTCTCTCTGGCACCCTTGTGCACCCTTGTTCTACCTCCCCCTCTCTCTGGCACCCTTGTGCACCCTTGTTCTACCTCCCCCCTCTCTCTGGCACCCTTGTGCACCCTTGTTCTACCTCCCCCTCTCTCTGGCACCCTTGTGCACCCTTGTTCTACCTCCCCCCTCTCTCTGGCACCCTTGTGCACCCTTATTCTACCTCCCCCTCTCTCTGGCACCCTTGTGCACCCTTGTTCTACCTCCCCCTCTCTCTGGCACCCTTGTGCACCTTGTTCTACCTCCCCCTCTCTCTGGCACCCTTGTGCACCCTTGTTCTACCTCCCCCCTCTCTCTGGCACCCTTGTGCACCCTTGTTCTACCTCCCCCTCTCTCTGGCACCCTTGTGCACCCTTGTTTTACCTCCCCCTCTCCCCTGGCACCCTTGTGCACCCTTGTTCTACCTCCCCTCTCTCTCTGGCACCCCTTTTGCACCCTTGTTCTACCTCCCCCTCTCTCTGGCACCCTTGTGCACCCTTGTTCTACTCCCCCCTCTCTCTGGCACCTTGTGCACCCTGTCATCCTGTCCCTTCATCTGTTTTCTTTTCACTTCCTGCTAGACCCTTGTGCACCTGTTTCCTCCCCCCTCTCGAATCCTTTCACCTTGTTGTCTCCCCTATCACTCTGGACCCTTTGACCTTGTTGTATCTCTCTACCCCTGGATTGTTCTACCTCCTCTCTCTGGGATTGTGTGTGTTCTCCTCTCTCTCTGGGCACCCTTGTGGCCCTGTGTTTATATATCTGTTGTGGTTGTGCGTGTGTCTCTCTCTCGTCTGGTTGTTGCTCTGTGTTCTATTCTGCTGGTGTGACCTTGTTCTCTCCTCTCTGGCCCTTGTGTTGTTCTACTGCCTCTCTCTGGTGTGCTGTGTCTCCTTCCCTCTGCTCTGGTTGTGCACTTACCTCCCCCTTCTCTCTTGGACACCTTGTGACCTTATCATCGTCCCCTTCTCAGTAACCTGACCGTGCTACCTCCCCCACAGTCGGCACCTGTTGCGCACCCTTGTTATACTTTTTCACATACTCTTCGTTCACCATCTTCTGCACCCGCACCGTACCTCCCACTCTAATCTCAACCTGTACACCGTTTAACTCCCCCTCCTCTAACACCCGAACCCTTAAAAACCTACTTTATGGCACCCTTATGAAAATTTTCTACTCCATCTGCTTTGACAATGTGAACCGTTCGATCCCCTGCTCTCGTGTAATGTGAACCGTGTGTGCTCCCCCGCCTCCTCCTCACTTTTGCACCTTGTTTATACCTTCCCTTGGTTGTTGACTTTTATCCCCCCCGCTCTGGCAGCCCTTGTGACCTTGTCTACTCTCCCTCTCTCCCGAGCTCACTTGGCCCCGGATATCTCCCCTCTCCGGCAACCGTGAAGAAGACCTTGTTTACCTCCCCTCTCTCAGAACCTGAGACCGTCCCTCCCACCACTCCGAATGATCACACCCTTTTTTCCCCTCTTCTGGCACACTTCCACCTTGCAGCTTCTCTGGACCCTGTGCATTGTTCTAGCCTCCCACCTCTCTCTGACCCTTGGATTAGCTTCTATACGCGCCATCTCTCTGCCCTGAGATTGCGAAGTCCTTGATATCTCCCCTTCCCGCAAGCCTTGAAGCACCCACCTCTCTCTTCAGGCAGCCCGGTCTTCCGCCACTCTGGCACCCTTGTGTCCCTTGCTATCCCCCCCAACTAGGACCTTTTACCCCCCAGCTGCTGGTCCCTTGTGCCCTTGTAAACGCTTCTTCTGGATTGTGCACCTGTTAACCTCCTCCTGGCCCCTTGTGCACCCTTGGTTCTAACCTCCCCTCTTTCTGGCACCTTGTGCACCTCTTTTCTACCTCCCCCTCTCTCTCTGGCACCCTTGTGCACCCTTGTTCTACCTCCCCCTCTCTCTGGCACCCTTGTGCACCCTTGTTCTACCTCCCCCCTCTCTCTGGCACCCTTGTGCACCCTGACATCCATGTGGCTTATCTGTGTCTTTCACTTCCTGCTGTGCCCTTGAGTACCTGTTTCCTGCCTCTCGAACAGCCTGTTCCTGTCAGCCCTATCAACTGCCCTGAGTATTTTGTATGTTGTTATCATGTCTCCCCTCTGATTCTTCTGTCCTCCTAGTGTGTATGTATGTGTGTGTGTATGTGTGTGTGTGTGTGCGTGTGTGTGTGTGTGTATATATATGTGTGTGTGTGCGTGTGCGTGTGTGTGTGTGTGTGTGTGTGTGTGTGGTGTGTGTGTGATGTGTGTGTGTGTGTTGGTTGTGTGTGTGTGTGTGTGGTGTGTGTGTGTGTGTGTGTTGTGTGTGTGTGTGTTGTGCATGGTGTGTGGTGGTGCACTTAAGCCTCCTTCACTACAAGACAACCTTGACCAATCATCGTCCCCGTTCACCAGTTAACCTGACCGTGCTGACCAATCACAGACGAGCACCTGTTGCAACAACACCGATGCTCTATACTTTTTCAATACTCTTCGTTCACCATCTTATAACCCACCGCACCATCCACTACAAAATACAACTGAAATACAACGATAACTGCAACAAAACCATGCAAATAACACTCAGAAACCAAACTTAAAAAAATACTATATGAGGCAATTAAATATGAAAAGTTTTCTACTAAATGTGCGGTATTGAGTGAAACGAAACGATAGATGGTGAAAGATAACGCGGGGTGTGGCTCCGCCCGCCTACCTCCTCACTCTGAGTTCGGTCTTATAGCCTGATACACACTGGTCTGTTGACTATATCCTACGCTTCAGGCCTCAGACTAGCTTGCCGTGGTCTCCCTGTCCTCAGAGATCACTGGCCTGGAGATCTCCAAGCCTCTCCGGCAGAAGGCGAAGAAGAAGACCTTGCTGGAGACTGGCTCTTCAAGAACCTGAGACCGCCCCTGAAGACCAACCAACTCCCGAAGAATCACACCCTTTTTTCAGGGCTTTCGAAACTTCCACTTCGCAGCTCTCAAGGACCCTGGGATAGACATCAGCCTTCCACGTTCACCTGTCCTTGGATAAAGCTATCCTGGGATAGCGAGAATCCACACCTGAAGATCTGCGAAGTCCTCGAATCTTCGCTTCCCGAAGCCAGAAGCCACCAGTCTTCTTCAGGCAGCCCGAGTCTTCGGCCATCAAGACTCCAATAGAGTCCCTTCGACTATCCCCAAAGACTACCCCCCCAGGGGAGCTGCAGGTCCCTGGTGGCCCTGAAAGGCTTCGTCTGAGTGAGCTCGAAGCTCTCCAGCCCACAGCGATGGTCTTCCCCAGAAGCTCTACTCTCCTGTTACTGGTGTTTCCCGTCATCCTCCTCCTCTGCTTCCCTCCTTCCTCAGGTGAGTCCTTGTTATGCTTTTGAATGAGACTGGAGTTTATGAATGAGTAAATTAAACTCTTGAATGAGTAAATTAAACTCTTGAATGAGTAAATTAAACTCTTGAATGAGTAAATTAAACTCTTGAATGAGTAAATTAAACTCTTGAATGAGTAAATTAAACTCTTGAATGAGTAAATTAAACTCTTGAATTAATAAATTAAACTCTTGAATGAATAAATTAAACTCTTGAATGAGTAAATTAAGCTCTTGAATGAGTGTAGAGCTCTGAAATGAGAGTGAAGCTCTTGAATGAGAGTGAAGATTTTGAATGAGAGTGGAGCTCTTGAATGAGAGTGGAGCTCTTGAATGAGAGTGGAGCTCTTGAATGAGAGTGGAGCTCTTGAATGAGAGTGGAGCTCTTGAATGAGAGTGGAGCTCTTGAATGAGTGTGAAGCTTTTGAATGAGTAAATTAAGCTCTTGGGGAAACGTTTCGACCCAAGAAGATTCAACAGGTCGATATGTTTTCCCCAATTAGGTTAATGGGGTTTCAAGTCTATCTACTACACGAGGGTTATACGAGAGAGTTATGCAACTCTCAGCGTATATATATTGAGAGTTATGCAACTCTCAGCGTATATATACTGAGAGTTATGCAACTCTCAGCGTATATATACTGAGAGTTATGCAACTCTCAGTGTATATATACTGAGAGTTATGCAACTCTTAGTGTATATATATTGAGAGTTATGCAACTCTCAGCGTATATATACTGAGAGTTATGCAACTCTCAGTGTATATATACTGAGAGTTATGCAACTCTCAGCGTATATATACTGAGAGTTATGCAACTCTTAGTGTATATATACTGAGAGTTATGCAACTCTCAGTGTATATATACTGAGAGTTATGCAACTCTCAGCGTATATATACTGAGAGTTATGCAACTCTCAGCGTATATATACTGAGAATTATGCAACTCTCAGTGTATATATACTGAGAGTTATGCAACTCTCAGTGTATATATACTGACACACACACCCTAGTGTATATATACACACCCTAGTGTATATATACACACCCTAGTGTATATATACACACTCTAGTGTATATATACACACTCTAGTGTATATATACACACCCTAGTGTATATATACACACCCTAGTGTATATATACACACCCTAGTGTATATATACACACTCTAGTGTATATATACACACCCTAGTGTATATATACACACCCTAGTGTATATATACACACTCTAGTGTATATATACACACCCTAGTGTATATATACACACCCTAGTGTATATATACACACTCTAGTGTATATATACACACCCTAGTGTATATATACACACCCTAGTGTATATATACACACCCTAGTGTATATATACACACCCTAGTGTATATATACACACTCTAGTGTATATATACACACTCTAGTGTATATATACACACCCTAGTGTATATATACACACTCTAGTGTATATATACACACCCTAGTGTATATATACACACCCTAGTGTATATATACACACCCTAGTGTATATATACACACTCTAGTGTATATATACACACTCTAGTGTATATATACACACCCTAGTGTATATATACACACTCTAGTGTATATATACACACTCTAGTGTATATATACACACCCTAGTGTATATATACACACCCTAGTGTATATATACACACCCTAGTGTATATATACACACTCTAGTGTATATATACACACCCTAGTGTATATATACACACTCTAGTGTATATATACACACCCTAGTGTATATATACACACCCTAGTGTATATATACACACCCTAGTGTATATATACACACCCTAGTGTATATATACACACTCTAGTGTATATATACACACCCTAGTGTATATATACACACCCTAGTGTATATATACACACTCTAGTGTATATATACACACTCTAGTGTATATATACACACCCTAGTGTATATATACACACCCTAGTGTATATATACACACCCTAGTGTATATATACTCGCCGTAATGACCTTTTATCACATTTTTTATTAAAAAAAACAAAAATACGTCAAATACCAATAACAAAAATAAAGTCAGTTTCAACCTGGTGAAAATTTTCGCTTCAGTCAGGAAATTTATGATGAAAAAGTTGTAAATTGTCTGAGCCAGAGAATGTAAATACGTTCCTTGTATGTTGTAAATGCTTTGATTTACACTTATGTGACGAGGTATATACTATTATTTACACACAAGAGACGAGGTATATACCATGATTCACAGGAAAGAGATGAGGTACATACCATGATTTACACACAAGAGACGAGGTATATACCATGATTCACAGAAAAGAGATGAGGTATATACCATGATTTACACACAAGAGACGAGGTATCTACCATGATTTACAGTAAAGAGATGAGGTATATACCATGATTTACACACAAGAGACAAGGTATATACCATGATTTACAGAAAAGAGATGAGGTATATACCATGATTTACACACAAGAAACGAGGTATATACTGAGATTTACACACAAGAGGTATATACCAACGCTCTTATATGGTGTTGGAGTGAGAGCTAAGTAAAATTTATGAAAGAATTCAGTTAAACTGGTTAACCGGACTTGAGTCCTGGAGGTGGGATGAACCGAGCCTTCAGATATATACTGCACTGAAGCAGTTTACAGTATCTATCAGATATATACTGCACTGACGCACTTTACAGTATCTATCAGATATATACTGCACTGACGCACTTTACAGTATCTATCAGATATATACTACACTGACGCACTTTACAGTATCTATCAGATATATACTACACTGACGCACTTTACAGTATCTATCAGATATATACTGCACTGACGCAGTTTACAGTATACTTCAGACATATACTACACTGACCCAGTTTACATTATCTATCAGACATATACTACACTGACGCAGTTTACAGTATACTTCAGACATATACTACACTGACGCAGTTTACAGTATACTTCAGACATATACTACACTGACGCAGTTTACAGTATACTTCAGACATATACTACACTGACGCAGTTTACAGTATACTTCAGACATATACTACACTGACGCAGTTTACAGTATACTTCAGACATATACTACACTGACGCAGTTTACAGTATACTTCAGACATATACTACACTGACACAGTTTACAGTATACTTCAGACATATACTACACTGACGCAGTTTACAGTATACTTCAGACATATAATACACTGACGCAGTTTACAGTATACTTCAGACATATACTACACTGACGCAGTTTACAGTATACTTCAGACATATACTACACTGACGCAGTTTACAGTATACTTCAGACATATACTACACTGACGCAGTTTACAGTATACTTCAGACATATACTACACTGACGCAGTTTACAGATTACGTCAGACATATACTACACTGACGCAGTTTACAGTATACTTCAGACATATACTACACTGACGCAGTTTACAGTATACTTCAGACATATAATACACTGACGCAGTTTACAGTATACTTCAGACATATACTACACTGACGCAGTTTACAGTATACTTCAGACATATACTACACTGACGCAGTTTACAGATTACGTCAGACATATACTACACTGACGTAGTTTACAGTATACTTCAGACATATACTACACTGACGCAGTTTACAGTATACTTCAGACATATACTACACTGACGCAGTTTACAGTATACTTCAGACATATACTACACTGACGCAGTTTACAGTATACTTCAGACATATACTACACTGACGCAGTTTACAGTATACTTCAGACATATACTACACTGACGCAGTTTACAGATTACGTCAGACATATACTCACTGACGCAGTTTACAGTATACTTCAGACATATACTACACTGACGCAGTTTACAGTATACTTCAGACATATAATACACTGACGCAGTTTACAGTATACTTCAGACATATACTACACTGACGCAGTTTACAGTATACTTCAGACATATACTACACTGACGCAGTTTACAGATTACGTCAGACATATACTACACTGACGTAGTTTACAGTATACTTCAGACATATACTACACTGACGCAGTTTACAGTATACTTCAGACATATACTACACTGACGCAGTTTACAGATTACGTCAGACATATACTACACTGACGCAGTTTACAGTATACTTCAGACATATACTACACTGACGCAGTTTACAGTATACTTCAGACATACACTACACTGACGCAGTTTACAGATTACGTCAGACATATACTACACTGACGCAGTTTACAGTATACTTCAGACATATACTACACTGACGCAGTTTACAGTATACTTCAGACATATACTACACTGACGCAGTTTACAGTATACTTCAGACATACACTACACTGACGCAGTTTACAGTATACTTCAGACATACTAAGAGGGAAACTGTATGATAACTCGCGTATGTTAGGTTAAAATCGTAATGTATACCGGTAGCGTCAGTATATATATATAAATGTCAGCTGACAGTACCTGTCAGCTAATATGCCATGTCAGTTACGAGAAAGTAAGATGAAAAGCCCAAGAGCTGTACATTAACTTCTGCAAACTCAGGAAGGTAAACACACACACACACACACACACACACACACACACACACACACACACACACACACGCACACACACACACACGCACACACGCACACACACACAATAATCACTATCTACAAAGGGACCAAAGACGGATATACATCATGTACAAACACATCTACATGCTCATACATATACAAACATTCTCACTCACACACGTAAAACACGCGTTCATACACACACACACACACACACACACACGCACACACCACCCACACACACACGCACACACCACCACACAAAAACCCCACACACACACACACACACCACACACACCCACACACAACCACACACACCCACACACACACACAACCACACCACACACACACACCACACACACACACACACACACACACACACACACACACACACACACACACACACACACACA